AACTTAATGACCCCTGGGGAAACTACCCTCCTGGGGTCAGCAGATTACTGGAGATAGTACAGGCAGGCACACCCCACTTAGCAGCGGGGTATGTTCTAAAACCACATCGTTAGGTGATGCTGTCATTAAGCAAATGTCATGGCAGGTAGTGACAAAGTCTGATGGTGCAGGCAGCCCCACCTACGGGGTCCAGGCTGATGGGACCACCGTCCATGTGGCTGTGGTCCCTTCTTGACCAGAACAGTGGTCACGTGACGGTGTGCGATGCCTGATGGGAAACTTGCCCAAGAGCATGCCTTTGAATCAACAGTTCAAACTCACCCCAGCACCCTGGGCTCTTACATTGGGGACTGGCACACCGCTCCTTCTGCTTACTGCAGGGGCAGTCGTCAGAGAACTTGGGGCAGTCCCCCTACTCCAAGCCCCCTGGAGTTATCCAAACTAGTCTTCCCCTGCTCACCCACGCCCTCCCACAAACCACTAAAATCAAGACAACACGCCCGGTCCCACACCTCTTCTGCTGTCTCCTACGTGACCTGTAGCTTCCCCATTTCGCCCTGCAGAGCTCAGCATGCGCCCCCTCGGGGACTGAGGCAAGCGATCTCTTCAACGGCAGGGCCCTTAGTAGCCCTCCCTGCTGTCATGCCAACGACATGGGATCGGAAGTGAAGGCGAACATTGCCAGGGCTGGTCTAGAAGAGGCCCACAAGTCTCTTCCCATCTCTCTCTCCAGGTCTCTCCCCCTCTCTCTTCCTCTTGGCTGGGAGGTATTTTCAGGTCCTAGGAGAGGGTTGTCACAGGGAAAGCACCTGTCAGCACACGAGTACCTGCATTTGAGCTAAACAACGAGCTTCGTTGCATTAGGAGACAGCAGCCCTGACCTCGTCTGCTTCGGCGGTTGGGCCCCCGACTAAGTCTGTTGCCAAAACATGTCTTTGGTTACTTCCACCTCCCATCAAAGACCTGCCTGTCTCCCAGACTTCTGCCTCCCTTTTCCACTCCTCCAGGGTCATGGAGTAAACAGTTTCCCTGAGAAGAACACCCTATTATATCAGGGAGACACCCCCAAATTTAATTCCACAATGTCTTCTAAGCACCTGCCCGGTGCCAGACAAATGTCCCCACCCTGAGGGCTGAGGACTGGCCACTGGAGCCAGAGTGGGCTCAGTGTGGGCCCAAAGCACAGAGTACCCACCATCTTGGCCACAGGTGCTTCCACCGCCAGGACTGCGGGTTTCACCAGCAAAAGAACAGAAGGAGGAGGTGGGGGGTAGAATGTTGCCTCATGGTCTGCAGCGGATGTGGGTACGTGCACGGAGGCACCGACGTCGGGGGAATATTCTGTGCATGTGGTCTTCTCATGGGCTTCAGGGCCTCTGAGGAGCCCACTGGGGGGCTGTTCCAGACATCCTGGTGTGTGTTAGGAGCATTTCTGTCACAGGACACTAAAAACCCACCCAAATTGTCCTCAATCAAATAAAGATTTGCCTTATTGGCAAGTGTGACACAGGTAGTGAAAAAATTCCAAGGTAGATCTGGCTTCAGCTTGGGCTGGATATAGGTGCTCAAGGAGTATCACCAAAACTTGGTTCTTCATCTCAAAGGTCCTCTTCCGCTGATGGGACCCATTCCTTTAAAGACTCTCCTGACAGAATCACAGATGACTAAGTCAGTGGCTCCAACATTCAAGTCCTACAAGAAAGTGAGAGTCCACTTCCCCAATTCTGCAACAAACAGAAGTCCCAGAGTTAAATCTGATTGGCTGCCTTGAGTTGCATGCTACTTTCTGACGCACTCGCTGTCAGCAGGGGAAGGAAAGGCGCTGATAGTGTGAGCCTAAGATGCATCAGCCTGGGGCCAGGAGGCGGCTAATCAACCCACACAGGTTGAGAGAGAACAGGAGGGAGATCCTCAGATAAAATTACAAAAATATAGACAATGGATGCTTAAAAGGCAAATAACACAAGTCCGCTACAGCAAGTGTCCTAAGCTGGGTATCGACCATGCGTAGTTCCCACTGCAGCTGGAAACCCGCATAGAAAGAATCTACTCAGTGGCTCGTTGGCGATCGTGTCCTCCTCCCCAGACTAATTCTTACTCATCATTTTGTCCCCTCAAGTGCCTCGTGCAGGACCCTCCTGCTAACAGCAGGGCTTCACTTCTGCTTCTGGATCGAGATGAATCTCTGTTGTGAGCTTAATTTCACCTCCCCCAGCCCTTGCAAGAGGCATTAGTAACCTCAATTTACGAGAAGAAAACTGGAGGTCAGTAAAGCCAAGGAACTCGTCCACTGCTAAGTGTCCTGCCCGTGGGTGAGTGTCGGGCCCATCTCAGCCCAAAGAGAGGTTCTTGCCTCTCCACTGCACAGTCACCTGGGAGTGAGGGGAGCCCTTGGCACCAGCTCGTCCCTGCTGCTCCAGTCCAGATGGACTCAGATGCAGTAAACCTCTTGTCTCCCGCTCAGCTGGCTGCTCAGGATGTGGAGAAGGTCTGCTGCTGTGTCATGTGGCCAGGGCAACAGGAGTGGGTGGGGGGTAGAGGGGAGCAGGGGCAGGGAACACAGGGGCCAGTGATAAACGCTGGGCTGAGCCTGCGGTGCCAGGAGGCCTGATGGGCCTTTTTTTAATGCCCATCTCCCGCCACCCTTTCGGCCTCTACTGAGACCGGGCAAGGCTGAGCTGTGAACCTCATTTATTGACATTCCAAACCCAAAGGTTTGTTTCTCTAAGATTCCGCTGAGAATGCATTTAAAAAAAAAAAAAACCAATGACTCCAGTCACTGAAAAGCATTCCTGTCCATTTGGTGACTGCCTTTGAAAGAACTTATATGCCTCTGAGCATTTGTTTACTTAATATATCCAAATTAAATTTAGAATATTCACAGTATTGATATTAAATATGTCACTTATTTTGAACTGTATAGAAGTGTTTACAGGAACTGGATGCATTTCCAAGTATTTATACTTCTAAATTAACCTTTGAATTTCTGCAAAGTGCTTGTTAAGCATGTCACTTTTTCTTTTAACACAGTACAGAAACAGATTCACAAGAATTGCATTGTTTTTGTGCATCTGTTTGCCTGATCAAAAATCCACATAAGCTTGTGCATTTATTTAATAAATGGAAGGATTTAAGTTTTCAAGAAGAGCAAGGATGACTAACCCAATGTAGGGATTCTCTGAAAGGCAAAGGAACTGCTTACACAACATTAGAGAAGCAATGAAACAGACTCTAAAGCTGAAATAAAACAGACACAACAAAGATAAGCAGAGGCCAAAGGAGGAAAGAAAAAACTAGAAATGGGAGATCGAAAATGCTGCAGAACTGACAGACACACAGACATCCCAGAGAGGAATCACCAAGAGTTGCCGTGGACTGCATGTCTGTGCCCGCCTGAAATCCCCAGGTGAAGCCCCCACCCCAGTGAGAGGATACTAGGCGGCGAGGTCTTTGGAGATCACTTACTCTAGGTAGGTCATGAGGGTGGACTCCCCACAAGGGCATCAGCGCCTTCATAAGATGAGGAAGGAACCCAGACTTCCTCCCTCCCCCGCATGAGGAGAGAGCAGGAGATGACTGTCCACAAGCCGGGACACGTACCCCAGAACCAAAACTGCTGGTATCTTGAATGCGGACTTCCAGCCTCCAGAACTGTGCGAAAACTGCCTATTGTTTAAACCACTTGGTCTAGGGCATTCTGTTATAGCAGCATGTTTATATCCAAGAAAGGAAATAAGCAGCAAATAACGAGCATTACGGTGAACTCCAACTCTCTTCACCTCTTGGGCCCAAGGGTGCCCTCCATATTCCACAGCACAGGTGCCTGGTTTTTTCAAGGATCCCCTCAAGCCCCAGGGAAACCTTCTGGCAGAACTTCAAATCCTGGAGAATGATAAGCTCTGTCAAAAGTTTGATCATAGGGTTCATTAAGGATTATATTTGAGAAGAATAAGATTAACTGTTCTCCACAAAGTTGATGAAAAACTGGTTTTATTAATAGCGAGGGAGAGCTGCCAGAAGAAAGTGTGTTGAGCCTCCCCTGTGGTGCAGCGGTTGAGCGCTGGGTTGAGAAGCTGCCTGCGGCCTCTGTGGCGCAGAGTCGATCCCCGGCTGCTCCCCGGCCACCGGAGGAGGGTCCCACATGGCGCGCAGACCTCTCCTGCCACCCGCTGCTCCCCTCAGCAGTGTACTTCGGTCCTTCTGCCTGCTCTGCTCCCTGCTCTGGCTCTGGTGAATTCTCTCACCCTCCACATGTCTGACTGTACCCAATGCTTGTATAAATAAATAAATAAATCTTTAAAAAAAAAAAAAAAAAAAAGTGTGTTAGCAAGGCTGGGGACAGCTCACTTCCCATCAGCCCCTGTCCCAGGCCATCCTCTACCTCTTGGGTCCTCCTAACAGGCTTCCTGACCCAACCCTCAGACCCTCACTGGACTTGGAGATGGGGTGACTTGGTATTCTGTCCAGATCCTTGCAATTACACATCAAAGCAGACTTGGCAGTTTGGTTCAAGGTCAGCCCTACCCAGCTAATTAGTCTCCCCAACACTCTCTCTCCCCCACCACACACACTCTCTCTCTCTCTCTCTCTCTCTCCCCCCCCCCCCAGCAACCTCAGTTCTTTCTAGCTCCCCACCAGGAGACCCCATCCTGCCTGTTCTGCAGTTGGACTCTACAACGCATGGACTTAGGTGGTGGGAGGATTGTCAACCACAAGACCAATGACCTTATCAAGCAGAGTCTTTACATTTTCCACCATCACTGAGCTTGTGGAAACAGGAGCACATTAAGAACATAAGCATGATAGATTCTCTAATATAAAAAGATGTTCGCAAACATCTCAAACCATCTTTCAGAGAAGTAAGATATTACAAATCACAGCTACCCCAACAACAATGATTCAACAATCAATAAAGGATTTCAGCCCAGGGGCTACAAACGCATGGCCCATGGGCTCAGAACAGTTAAGCCACAGAAGCATTTCCTTCAGGCTGTATAACTTTTTGAAACATTAGAATTTGTTGACAACTTGAAAATGAGATGATCTTGCATTAGAGGAACAATCACCTGACTCAGTTGGGATGAAGAGGTCATGAAAGGCAGCCATTCCACCAGAACACTGAGAAACTATTAAGCCACAAAAGCAAATTTTATAAACCCCTCAAAGAGTGAAGGATGCAGAGAAATCTAGATGAACAAAGTTCTTATGATAGACAAACCTTTCACAAAGGAATAGAGACCCAATGGTTGTTTTTGTTCTTGGGGACATGGACAGGTGAGGAAGCAAGCCTGCAATAGGGGTAATTGCTGAACTAAGGGAAAACCAAGCTCATTTGTAACAACCACAAGGGCTGGCATGATGGGTTGGCATCTGATTGGGCCACATGTAGATGGCACTCCCTGCCTGCCAATTCTCCCCCACAGAATGTTTGTTGAGGATGCAGCAGCAGGCAGACCTGGGCTGGGAAACAGAGCAAGAGATCAAAAGCCAGTAAAAAGAAATCAAAGCGAAATATCATCATCACTAAATATGTAAATCAGGAGAACGCCTGATCCCATCCTCAAGATATTTAAGGCCAGTGTTAGATAAAATCATTGTTTTACTACCGAGAGAAGAAAGGACATCACCTTTGGGGGATAAAACTTACCTACTTCAGTTTACGCTGTTCTTTTTTCACAACATCTAGTTCACATCCAAAGATACAATAAACATAAAGAAGAATGACAACTCTACTAAAGAGAACAATGATCAGTAGAAGACGACCTGCAGATGACCTAGAAAATGAATTAACAGACAAGAACTTTAAAATGACAAATTGAACATTTTAAGAAATTAGTGGAAATTGTAAACATAATTGGGAAAAAGATGAAGAATTTCATTAGAAAAACAGACACTAAAAAAGAAGCAAGTAAAAATTTCAGATTTAAAAATATAAATATCTGAAATGAAGTGTAACTTTATAGTGGGCTGAAAAAGCAGAAGAAATGATGAGTAAAATTTTTAAAAAAGGTCAATAAGAAAGGTAACAAAACTGAAGCACAAAGAGGAAAGGGAAATTAAGAAGAAAAGAAAAGCCAGAATGCAGCATCTGAGTGCTGTGGGGAAAAGTCAAACGGCCTGTATAAATACAGCTGGAGTTCAAAAAGAGAAGGAGAAAGATAATTGGGGAAAGGAAGTATTTGAGGGGATAATTACCAGAATTTTTGAAACTTTGTGAAACATATAACCCAGAGATCCAAGAGGTTCAGTAAATTCCAAGTTGGATAAATACAAAGAATACCACATCTAACCACATTATAGTCAAACCACTGAAAACCAAAGATGAGGACAAACTCCTAGAGCAGTCAGAGAAAAGACAGACATTCGATTTAGAGGAATAACCACAGGATTTACAGCAAGCATCTCAACAATACAAACAATGTACCCAGCAAACAATGGAATTCAGAAAACAACGGGATCACAAGGTTTAGGTGCGGCAAGAAAAAACTGTCAATTTAAAATTTAACATGCTGGAAAAACATAACTCAAAAATGATAATAAAATAAAGACATCTTCAGAAAAACCAAAAAAGAGAATATTCATCACCAGTAAACTGCATCAAAAGAAATACTAAAGGAAGCTCTTCAGACTGAGAAACAGATGGGGGTCCAGATCTTCAGGGAAAAATGAAGAATATACATAGACACAAAATAGTTGTATATATACACATATACAAGGACTTAAGCAAAAATATAATAGCATTGAATTTGGGAGTTTATATCATATCTAGATATAAAAAACAGGAAAATAGCACAACTTGTGGGGGAGGTGAAAGGAATCATACTCTGTAAGATTCTTACATTTTTCAAAAGTATAATACTAATCAGTACTAATTACTAATAATTTCCTAAATGTGAAAAGTTAAGGATGCATATTATCATTTCTAGAACAGACACGCATATAATATAAAGAAGTGTAGTTCAAAGGCCAAAAGAGGAATAAAATTGGAATAATAAAAATCCTTGACTGATTCTAAAGAAGGTGAGAAATGAGAAATGTATAAGAGGCTGAATGCATAGTAAGAGCTAAACTTAAAACCAGCCATATTTTTATTTATACTAAATGCAAATACACCAGACACTTCCTTTTTTTTTTTTAAGTTTGTTTGAATAAAGAATTAAGCTCAAATTATGTTGTTTGCAAGAGACACATTTTAAATATAAGGACACAGTTTGGAAGTAAAAAGATGAAAAAAAGACATACCAAGTAAATTTTAATCAGAAGAGAGCTGGTGTGGCTATAATTCACATCAGAGCGATTGACTCCAAGTCAGGGAATATTGCTAGGAAAAAAAAAAAGGATGTTACAATGATTAAAGAGTCAGTTCATAAGGAAGACCTAACTAACCATCATAAATGCCTAGTAAGAGAATCTCAACATAAACAAAACAAAAATTAACATAAGTAAGAAATAAATCCACAAAGCTTAATATTTTTATTTGGTGGTAATAAAAACACCATAAAGTACATAGAAGACTAGAACATTCTCCGCCACCTTGACCCAATTAAAATTCATAGAAGACAATACTCAACAGTTACAGAATATAATGTCTATGAAATTCACGTGGAACAATCATGAAAATAATCCACATGCTGGGACATTAAGCAAGTCTTGATAAATCTCAAAGGACTAAAATCCTACAGAGTATGTTCTCTGACCACACTCTCTCAAGGGCCCCATAAACCACTCCTGTGTGTATTTACACCAGACAGATGAGGGCGTGTGTCCACAAAGAAAACTTACACGTGAAAGTTCACAGCAACTTTATGCACAAAAGAACTGGAAACCATCAAATGGATCTCAACAAGAGCTTGGGTAAATAAATTGGGTGTCACTCAACAATAAAAAGAAATGAACTACTGATATCTGCAAGATGGATAAATCTCAAGAGTATTATATTGAACAAAAGAACCCAAACACTGTAAGATTTTATTCATAGAAGGTAAACATCAGACAAAACTTATAGATACAGGAGTTAGGAGTTACCTTTGGTGGGAGACGGGTAGCTAGTGACTTGAAAAGAGCATAAGGGAACCTTCTGGGGATGGAAATGTTCCATATCTTTATATGGATGCTGGAACATATGTATGTAAGAATTCATCCTGATTTGTGCATTTTTTCCCATGCAGATTGGCCCTAAAAATAAAATCCTGTATATATCTTGCTTCTTTTGAAAGTATGAGATGATCTGGCAACAGTGTCCACGTTTGGCCACAAATGGCTGTGGTAATCCCACTTCACCACAGACCCCACCACTCTCTATTGTTCACCTATCACATTTATTTCTGCTACTGTCTGATTCCATTCATTTCCAGGCCCCGCCATTTCAGCTTGTATGTCAGGCTGGGAGTCCAGAGTGAGGACACCTAGCAGCCACCTACCGGAGGACCATCAGCTAGCAGACTAATTGCTCTAGTTGTGTTTCTGCCTGGCCCTTGGAAGTAGGTCTACTTTATACCAAGCCACCAATGCAGTGGGGCAAGAAACCTCAAACAGAGATCCTGAACTTCTGAACACTGAAGATCATTCAAGCAATTAATTAGAGAAATAAAAGAAATGGGATGATATTTGCATCCCAAGCTGGTGAAGCAGGTCACATGGATTACATTTTTAATCATTTAGGCAAATTCTCTGCAAATTTTATTTGAACAGAGATGTACATTCCCCGGTACCCCAGTTCCTCCAAACATCAGGTCCTCCTTTGTCCTGTGGCTGGGGGCACTGTTAGGAGGGCACCACCCAGGGATGCTGACAGCAACAGGCCGAGCATCATGTTACAAACCGGGTTCCTTCCACTGCTGGCCCGGCAGCTCAGGCCTGGGATTCTGTCACTGATCCACGGTGTCTGGCACAGCCTGGATCGCTGACAGCAATGGGGCCACATCACAGGAGCAGGATCCCCATAACTGTTTCAGCAAAAGAAGGGTGAGCGGTCTAGCAGCAGAGGAAGGGGAAGGTCAGCTTACAGAGGAGGAGGAGGAGATGCTGGAGGCAGGTGCTTATTTGCCAGCCAGTAGGGGACTGGTGTGTATTCAGCAGCCTCACCCTCAGTGGGCTGGGGCTGAGCTGAGCCGGATTCAGTTCACACCCAGCGGCTTGAGCGCCTCCGCCCTACTCAGCCTTCAGTGACACCACACTGGTGGACGGAAACTGGCCACCGAAGGGTGTTCACGCCTTGGAGTGGAAGGTGCCAGGACACAGCACTCCCACCTGCCGCCCACACATCCCCAGGCCTGTTCCACACCGCCCTGGTGCCGGCCCCTTTCGGGGGGCGCCCTTCACTGGGGACACCAGCCCTCCCTCTGACACAGCTTCCTCTGAGCTGAAATATTCATTCTCACTTTATCCTCACAGCCACGCCTCAGGGTTTGTCTGACTTGCAGCCCCAATTTGCAGCGGAGGAACCCAGGCTCGGAAGTCAGGGGACTTGCCCAGCACACACCGCGGCTAAGGGGCAGAGCTGAGTCCCACCCCGGCCTCACGTGGCCCTCCTCCACGCCTCCTCCAAAGCGTCAGCGCCCGGTTTCCTGACAACCATGAAGCAGAGCCCAGATCACTGCAGAGGAAACTTGGAAGCCCCCTCCAGGCCATACCTCAAGTTAGACGTTTAAGGCCACACCTCTTCGGGGGGACAGGAGACGTCTGTCTCTAACTTGAGGGAAAAAAAATCCCCTTCCCACCCAGCTCCAGAAATGTGTGCACCAACGCCTGCTAAACTGCAGGGTCGACCTTCCCACCAAGACAGATGGGCCGCCCTGTGCACAGGCAGAGTTACCGGGAAGGAAGGGGGTACCGGATCCCCACTCGAGTGCAGCCACCCTCTCTTGCCCCCCCTCCTCGCTCCAATTCTAGGGGCAGAAACCCTCCTGGACTGACGACACCCAGCCCTGGCCCAGCCCCACACCGGCCCGGCAAAGGTCTCTGGGAGGTCCTGGCTCTGGCGCCAGGACCAGATGGCCAGGGAGATTACTGCAATTTGATTTCCACGTAATCCATAAATTTGGACGTTCCTGCATATGCCCTACCCTGCGACCCTGCGGAGAGCTGCGCAGAGGACTGGGCCTGCCCACCTCCCAGGCCTGGAGTGCTGCTAATCCCCTGCTCAGTAGGCAGGGGCCACATGGGCCAGGAGCCTTGCCGGGAGGCCAGGAAAAGCAGCAGCCGGAGCCCGGTAATAAGAGTTCAGTATTTGAGGGCAGGAGGGGAGACCTCCAGGTTCCCAGAGACTTCCAGAAGGCACTGGAATGCACGCTGAAGCCAGGCAGACCCCGCACGATGTCTGGGCTAAAGCCCTGGCCTGGGAGTGCTTCTCCCGGGGTCTCAGGCCGTTGCCTCCAGCTCTGTTCCAGGCTAAAGACTAGACACTGCTCTTCTCTGGGCCTTGTGACCCCAAATGGAAGGAGAGGAGGTGGGAGCCGTGGCTGAGCAGCTCACCTGCTTCCTGCTTGATGTCTGTGCCTCCAGCCAGTGCCACACATCAGATGCTGCTCGCATCCAGAATCACCCCAGGCCACCAGTGTCTGCCGTGGTTCATGAAGACCTGGGTTCAAGTTCTGGCCCTGCCACTCAACAGCTGGGCGGCCTCCCGGCTTACCAGCCCTCCCTGGGCCCCCTTGTCTGACCTGAGGGATCCAGCCCAGCCTGTCTTCGGCCTAACAGAAGGGTCACGTCAAGTCAGGACACTGGACGGCCGGGACAGCCAAGCAGAACTCCTCTGCTAGAAGCTCAAAGTAAAATAAGCGCTGCTGAACCCAGCGCAGCGGCAGGCCCAGATGGAGGTGTCACCACACTCTCCTGGCTGTCTCCCCTTCCAAATTGGCCCTCTCCAGCGCCTCCACGCCCTGGCTGTAATTCTGCTGAACCCTGTGGGCCCTGGGCTGGAGCTCAGCGGCGGACAGCTGCCACCGTCCAGCTGCATATGGGTGAGGCTTCCACTGCTGTGAAGCTGTCACCGGCCACTGGCAGGTAGGAACCAGAAGGGGCAGGGACCGGCAGCACAGGGCTAGCCTGGAGGGCTGGGGCTGCATGCCCTTGCGTGTGGTGCCTCCCTGTGAACGTCACACGAACAGCCTGCGACCCGCCCTGCAGGCCGGGGCCCTCGCCCCAGCTTTGTGACTCCAAGTCCCTACGTGGCAGATGAGGAAACCGTGACCACAGGGGCCTGTCACAGTTCCTTGGGCCTTTGTGAGAGGAGCAGGCGCCGGGTCAGAGTCCCTGGCGGCTCTGCCGGAGGGAAGGCGGGGGCCCCACCAGGGCCACTTCAGAGTCATCAGCTCCACCCCGGAGGAGGCCGGTGCTCGGGCCCCAGAGCCGCCCCATCGGTGGGGAGAGACGACAGCGCATCCCCTCCTGCTGCGTCACGCGGGGGGCAGCCCCCTTGCTTGGAAGACACCGGGGGGACCTGAACCCCAAGAGGCTCTACCCACTGTGGTCACCGGGGGGCCTGGAGACAGGCGAGGGTCCCCAAGATGTGAGTGGGGCCGGGGACGGGCCCCTCAGGGAGGCTATTCCTGGGGTTGGCGAGCAGCTCTCTCACCGATGAGGGCCGCTCGGGTCGCTGAGGGCCATGAGGGGATCACGGGAACGTCCAGGCCACGTGGCGCCCACGTGTGACGCTGTATGTGTGCGCGTGCGTGCGTACGTGTGTGCATGCGTGTGTGTGTGCGCGCGCATGCGCGCAGCGTGAGCCAGAGACAGAGGGGCGGGGGAGACCGCAAGGCGCTGGGGGAAGCAGGCCTGGAGCGCGGGCGTGCCGGGGGCGGCCTCTCCGGCGTGGCCGGTGGGGAGCAGAGGCTGCACGGAGCTTCCCCTCCTCCCCTCGAGCACGGGCAGTGCGGGCATGGCGTCGCGCGAGACGGGACCCCCAGGCGCACCTGTGTGCTGCGCACCACGCCAGAGCCAGCCGCTCCCGGGGCCCCCTGCGAAGGCGACATTCGCCCGGGGCCGCCTCCCCCCACGCACGTTCTGACCCCCGAGACTGCTGGCCCACGGAACCCCGGTGCGGGGCTGACCTTCCACTCTGCGGACCCCAAATCTCTCTCAAGAAAACGGCCGGCTGTTGCCTCTGCAGCCCCGCACCCCCCGCCTGCGGGCGAGGCGCCGGCTTCCCTGCGGGAGAGTGAGCAGCCGCTGCTGGTGGGGGTGTGCGGGGAGCCACAGGAAGAACTGGAACCTCGCGAACACCCCGAATCACATCAGATGCACGTTTGACACCGGCGAATGCAACCACCCTGCCGGGTCTGGGGGAGACCAGCGCTCTGTGGGCCCTCCGGCTCCTGAGGCTCCTGCTCTTTGTAGCCTGGGCCGGGAGGCGCCATCTCGGTGTGTGAGTGCCCGCAGGCAAGGTGACTCTGAACCCTTCCACTTCTCCCAAATGCCCCCGCCCAGCCCTTCCGGGAGGGCCTAGACTTGCTGGCATTGGCCCCCCGGGGTCAGGATGTTACCCAGCGTGGCCCTAAAACGCAGGCTAGCTCATGCAGGAACGGCAGGGCAGCCCGGATGTGAGCCCTCAGGGAGACGTTGATGTCGTCACCCGACAGTGACTTGGGCGAGGTTGGACTCTAGTACCCAGGTGAGAAGTGGCTCCAGTGTAATGAGAGACCAGGCTGCTCACCCAAAGCAACTCTCCAGCTGCCCTGGACAGTCAGCGCTGAGCACACCGGGCAGCCTCCCGGCAAGCTCAGGATGGACGCCAGGAGCTCCCCCTGCCTGGCTCAGCCTCCACGGGCAGAGGTGGGTGCTCAGCACATGCCCCCAGCACTGGCCCTGCTGCGGGGTGAGCATTAACCCGCCACCTCTGGAGGTCGGGTCCAAACCACCTCCAGGACAAGGCCCGGACGTTGAGACTGCATGGCGAGGCTGGGCTTCTTCCAGTGTTGGTGGAGTGCACTTGAAGGCAGTGACACTGATGTCAGGGTTGCCTCCCAATGCCACCCCATTCCCCAGCGCACACCCTGAGCCAAAAGAGGTGAGGGAGACCAGATTCATCACCCTCTCCTCCAAGTTCAGCGACAGCCTCCTCGGCCTCCTTGTTCTCTGCTCCAAACCTTCTTCGCCATCTCCCAAACTGCCCCTGCCCAGGCCATTCTGGAACCAGCACCCCTGTGTGACAGGTATGGGCACTCTAGGGTGGGGCAATTGTCCAGGCAGTGGCAGACAGGAGGAGAGTCACATACGGCCCTGGGTCCAGCCCGTCTCCACTGGCTGAGCCACCTGGGCCACCCCCATGCCAAGTCACCTGTTGATCAACACCTGGAAGAATAAAAGCCGCCCCACATCCATCACAGCCGGTTGCAGGTCAGCTTCAGGCTGCCCTGGACCCCAGAGAACGTTGTGTTTTTTGGGGAGTCACTGCTGAGCCTAGACAGGAAGCCTCTGAGGTGGCAGCTGAAGCCAGGCTGTGAGGCTGCCAGGGACGAGTAGGTTGTAAGGCAAACTCTGCCACCTGGTGGTGCTCATGCTGACACAACCCCATAATCTAGGCCATCCCCAGGACCTACACGTCCCCACCAGCTTCTTAGCCCGTGGCTGTCTTGGCTCCTCTTCTCAGCCCTGTCCAGCCCCAGTTCCTGACTGGAAGTGTCCCTGAGCCCCAGGGTGTTCCCAGCTTTCCAGCTGAAAAGCCCCCTACTCCCAGTGGTCCTCATCTTACCCCCACCTGGGGGCCTCTCCCCCACCTCAGCCCCTTCTTCAGTCCCTGAGCAGCTCTTAAGGCCCAGGGCACTGGTTCACAAGAGTCAGCATTGCACCTGCTCTGCCAGACCCCACCGAGCCTGTTCTCACTTCCTGCCCACCTGGGCTGGCCACAGCAGGGTGCTGGTGTGTGTGTGCCATGCACGGGGGAAATTGCCCTCACTCCTGCTCTGGGGTGGGCACCCCAGGGGTCAGTCCTGGTATGACCAGGGGTGGGAGCTGTAATGTGAGGCTCTAGGCCCCTCCAATCCAGGTTTGCCATGTTCAGCGCTTACGGGAAAGCAGCCCATTTGCATTTGGAGTTTAGCTGTGAGGCTGAAGGGGCAGAAGACAAACTCATCACCCTGCAGGACACCCAAGTGCAGGAGCAACCTCGAGAAACCACCAGGCAAACAAGCCACCAGACAAACAAACAGGGTTCTCTGCAGCACTGCACAGGTGAATGGAAGAGACTGGAAATCCATTGTGCAGGGACCAAGCAGGGCGCTGAATGTGTGGAGGAGCCCCCTGGGAGCTGTTTTATATTGTTACACATGCACGCACACACACACACCATGCATTTTTCTTCTTGGTGCACAAGCACACCTCAAACTGCCACTCCTTACCCCCCATCAGCCACACAAATCCCCCCCCCCTCCCGTGGTTTCCCCGGAAGACTCCTGTCCCCTCAAACATCACCTCTTGGCCCCTGGCAAAGGACACCCTGGAGCCATCTCCGGTCACACTCGGCAGCCAGCAGGGAGTCTGGCCGGGCTCAGCACACCGCTTCGATAATGCTGGCGAACCTGCATTCTGCAAATCACACTCCCGAAATAGCAGCACTTCTCGGAAGAGGGGGTCGGGGCAGGCCACTGGGAACTTGAGGCGCCAGGTCACTAACAGCAGAGCAAGTCCCTAAGGACACTGGGCCCCTGCCCCTACAGCTGGCCCCTGAAGCCTTAAATCCCGGGCTCCTTCCCGAGTCACAGGTCCTTGGAGATGAAGGTCCGCAGACTCATCCCATCAAAATCAAAAATGTGATCTAGCAGGGGCGCTGCAGCACCTTTCCTTCCTCAGTCTCCCCAGAGAGCCTGACATGGCGGAGTGGCTGGCAGCCTGGAGCCGCCCCTAGCAATGAAAGAAGGCGCTTGGACCAAGCTACCCACTTTCCTGATGGCATCCAAGCCTTTCCCTGGCCACTTTAAAATACCAGTGCTCTGGGGAAACCCCCTGGGAACGAACCCACTCGGACCACCCCCAACGTTGCCTGCTGTCCGCTGTGCACACAGGGAGGCCTCGCTCAGCAGCGTCCACGGGTTCTTGGAAGCACTGATAGTGAAACCGTGTCAAGAGAGTACAGGCCAGGCTGGCATCCCCAAGGGACCCGCTGGACACACTCCCCACCAAGGAAACCACCTCTGACCAGACCGGCTGCTAGGAGATAGGCATGAAGGCCGAGGCCACCTGACCCTGGTGACTCCCCTTCTGGCCCAGGCGCCCAAGGCCTTCCTATGCAGTACGGGTCACAGACGCTCACCCCAAGTCCAGAGACACACACGCCTGGTCGAGAGCCACACTCAGCCTTGCCCACTGCCTAGGCTGCATCCCCAGTGTGCAACTGTGACCCTGGAGACCGGCAACCTCAGCTGGGAGCACCCCCCACCATGTCATGAGGAAACTGAGCACCTGCAGGAGGTATAGGGCAAGCCATTTCCCCAACCCAGCCACGCCGACGCAGACAGGGCCCCATTTCACAAGCACACACCCCACAGGGCAGTGTGATTACCCAGAGGGGCCTGCCAGGGACAGGCCCGGGCCGCAGGTCACCCCTCCAGAGGCTGCACATGGTCATCACGCACCTCCCAGGAGCCAGGCCTGGTACCCAGTGACCCAGCAACACAGGGAAGGGCCCAGCGCCCCAACCCAGAGGCCAGAGCTGGGCGAGCAGAACTGAGGCTCGCCTCGGTGGGCACCCACCCCATGTGCAGAGGGAGAACACGGGGACCCTTTTTATTTCACCTGACTTCAACACATATGAATGAGACAGTTAATTCCGCTTAAATACGAAATGCTTCAAAAAAAAAAAACAAAACAACAGGAAACAAAAATGAACCGAGGGGAGGGAGGAAAAGGACGGAATTATCTCCTGGACGACACACGAGCACGTAGCCGGATGAGGCGGGACAGGAAGGGAAGTGGCTGAGCCGTCACAGGTGCCGGCGGGCAGCGCTCCTGGACACGAGGCTTCCAGGCGGCCGCTGGTCCCTTGCTGCATCATCCTGGTCCCTGCTATATCGTCCTGGCCCACGTCGTCAGCCCGGCCGCAGCAGAGGTGCTGGCGAAGTGCTGCTCTCCTCCCCTCAGCCGCAGGCCGCCAAGTACTATCCACGGCGGCTCAGTCATCACAGGTCCAAGAGAAACCTCCTCACCTGGGCCAGGTATTTTGGTTTCAAATAGTCGCCCAGCTCGTCCTTGCTGACCCAGACGTGCCGGCCTTTCTTCCGAGCCTGGGGAAAGTCTCCACTCAGCAGCAGTGCTTTGAAGAAGAAGACTTTGGCCCCGAGGTTGCTCTCTGTCCGCATCGCCTTCGGGAACTTGAACTTGTAGTGGCCACAGGGTGCATTGCCAAGGAACTTGGCTTTCAGGTTGTTCTCTGAAGGGGAAAGACAGAATGGAAGGCAAGAAGAGAGACATCGGCGTGTTCTAGCTCCCCAAATCACCCTGGGTCTCCGTGAGAGCTGCCTCTGGCCTGAGGGAACGCGATCCCAGGGCGCAGGGACAGGGTGACTATGGCACCCCCCCCCCACCCGCCTCTGCCCCCTCGCTGGGCTGTGAAGCTACCCGCAGACTCTGCAGCGCCGGTTCAATCCCCGGCCACCGGCGAGGGTCCCACATGGCGCAACAGACCTCTCCTGCTGCCTGCTGCACCCCTCAGCAGTGTATTTTGTCAGTCTGTCTGTTCTGTTCCCCGCTCTGGCTCTGGTGAATTCTCTCACCCTCCCGTGCTTCTAACTGTACCCAGTGCTTATATAAATAAATAAATAAATAAATCTTTAAAAAAAAAAAAAAGCTTGGAGGGTTCGTGGGTGTTGACTATTCTCAAGCTTTCTGTATTTTTAGAGATTTTTCATTTAAAAAAGAAACCATATGAGTACTGGGGGAAAAATGTAGAATACTTTATACACCATTTCTGAGGGGAAGGCCTTTCTAAACAAGACACAAGACTCAAAAACCCAAAAAAGACAAGACACATCAACATGAAAACTATACCTTCCCACAAGGAAAAGTTAAACATAAAAAAGTCAAAGACAAAAATGAACCAGGAAACTATTTTCAACACATTCAACAAGGATACACCTGACAGCATAAGAAGAATGGAAGAAATCGTGGAAAAGAAAAATCAATAAATCAAAAAGAACCAGTTACATGAAGAGGAAGTTGACATGAAAAGGTCAGTGGCTGACACAGTAAGAAGTACCCGGTTTTATTTTAAAAAACACAAACTGAAACCACACGTCAATACTGCTGACGTTCAGAAACTCGGAGCCCCACAGCGCCCGTGAGGGGCAGGAAAAAGGGGGCCTCTCGCAGCTTGCACGACATAAACTAGACGAACTTGCTGCATTTGGTGGGACTCACCAATCTTATCCTCATTTAGCAACTCCACTGCAGAACTGGATCCCCCAGGAAAGCTAGATATTTTTGAGATGTGGCTGATGCCGGTTTCATGCACACAGCACGATTCATACATGACTGCAAAAGGCCGCCCCAGTCAATCTACTGCCGCTTCCCCCCGACAAAATCTCTGCAATTCTTTTCTTGTGGTGAGAACATCGTAAGACCTTCTTGGCGACTTGCAAATGTTTGCTGCAGCAATAACTACCATCACCAGGTGAAGCGTGACCTCCCAGACATTTATTTTATAACTGGAAGCCAGTACCTCTTGACACCGCCACCCATTCTGTCCACCCCCACAGCCCTGCCCTCTGGCAGTGCCTTTCTGTTCTCTGCATTCTCGAGTTCTGTTTTGTTTGTTCATTTGTTTTCTAGACTCCACATACAAGTGAGATCATGGCGTCTGCCTCCTCAGCCTGAATGGCTTCCCTCAGCACAACGCCCTGAAGGTGCTGTGTTGTGCCAGTGGGGGGATTTCATTCCTAACACTGCACTGTCTTTAAACACCACATCTCCCATCACCCACTGAGGTGGTCTCTACATCCTGGCTGCTGTGAATAATGCAGTGAGCAGAGCATTACAGATTGATTGTCACCTCAGTATTCTGAAGCGGGGTGGCTGGGTCACACAGCACCCCCACTGTGTGCACAAGCTGTGCAGGAGCACCGCCCTGTGTGTCTTCTCCGCATCTGCGCCAGCACTTGTTATCACTTCTGTTTTTGCTCGAGTCATTCTAAAAGTGTGAGGTGGTAATCACACTGTGGCTTCGATCAGCATCTTCCTACTGATGAGTGAGGTGAGCACCTTTAGATGTGCCTGTCAACAGCACTGAAGCTGAGAAGCCCCGGTCTAGTGAGAGAGGAGGGGCCAGAGCTAAAGCTATGGGGATGAAGAGGGCTTATCTAGAGTGAACAGGAGGACTCAGGAACGCCGGATGTCTTTACACGGACGCGGATAACACAGGGCTTCTCAGTGGAGGTGCCAAAAAGCAAAGCAGCAAATCCTTGCTTCTCAAGGATAAGGGGAGAAGCAGAAAGGGAGAAACATCACTTTTGCATTGAAATGTCAACATCTCAGTGGGACAAAAACAGAGGTTCCCTTTATCAAAGAAAACTCCTATCTGGACTCCCATGGTGAACTCTTTACCAACAGCAGCTTCTATCAACCTCCCCATCTCTTACCCTTTAAGCTAGTCTCGTGGTTGGCCTCCTCGGGCTGAGTCTGAGTTAGCCTCAGTGTTTGCAGGGAGGTGGAGCACTCACCTGACAGGGAGGCCAAGGTTCGCTCGGCAGTTCCTCGCAGGGTCTCTCCAGGTTGCCACTCAGCCTGGGGCAGCAGCCAAACCTCCTGGTCTCCAAGCTTCTCTTTGACCAACAAGACAAGGTTCCTATCAAGCTTCCGGTGCAGTGAAGTTCGGTCATTCTTTTTATCAGCTTCTGTGAAGAAAAGGAGACACAACTATGATCTGCCAGAACAAGAAGACTAGAGTTTCAGGGTCTTCCTTGTAGGCTGAGTCACAACGCTTGCCCTCAAAAGACTTGTCATCTCTGTACGGCCCTGACACATTTCTCTAACTCAGGGAAGAGTCTCACCATCTTCAGAAACTAAAACATAAGACAAGGAAACCAAAGCTGAACTTCTCTGAAGAGCAAAACATGAAGTACTCTGAACCTGTGGGAATCAAGCAACACCTACATGAACGCAAACGCAACTCCTTTCTGGATTTTGACACTATCACTGACTTCACAAGCCCCCACTGTCTCTTGGTACTTCATCTGTGAAACAAAAATAAGAGGACTCAAGGCCCTGCTTTGGAAGGAATTTCTGATAAACTGCAGGAAAAGGCTTAATTTCTCTCTCTCTCTTAGGCCCAAAGTAGGCATCCAACTCAGATAACATCCACCAAGTTTAACTGAGATGGAAAAGCTAAACACCCATCCCAACACCCTGACCTCCCACTGGAAAATAATATGGGAAATAATACAGATCTTTTAAAAACTCCATTAGGGCAGATGTGAAGACAGGGAAGAGAATTTCTCTTTCTCCCACCTGAGAGAATTTTTTGTCATTTACCATTATTTGTTGCTTAAAAATACATCATGGGCTAAGCAACATCTTTTTTAGAAAACCAGAAAACTCTTTCCTTTCCCTTTTACTGGCAAGAAAAGATCACAAACCTGTTATGCGAGCTCCAGGTTTGAACTGTAGGAATTTCTGCTCCCAAGAATCTTCCAAATCCTGCACCAGCAATATATTCTTTTCATCCTCTTCATCATAAAGGTCTGCTTTCTTCTTTGCCAGATGCTTGGCTTCAGCCAGAGCACGAAGTTCATGGTCTGAATACAGGCTTTTTTCTACCTCAATCTGAGAAAATTAAGAGCAAAAATCTACCTCAATCTGGAAAAACTTAAGGAACAAAAGAGCAGACCAAACCAACAGAGCTATAGCACATTCAACGGACTCCAAAGTCTTTACCACCCAACATAACCAGATATACAGCAAAACACTGCAGAGAAAACAGAGAAAGAATAAAAGGTCCCTGACACTTTGGGTTTGACATTTACTAAAATGTTCTACCATAAGACTGAAGTCAATACTGCTACCAAGCACAACAGACTGGGACAGGCATGGCCTGCCCACTCAGCACTTTCTGGCTGTGTCACTCTGATCAGAATCTCCCTCACTATAGACTGTCATGCTTCAGAGAGTTTACAGATGCTGTTCCTTCTTTTAGAATGTTTCCCCTCATGTTCTCCTGGGAGATTCACACTCATCCTTCATATCTCACTTTCTGGGAGACATTCCTTGACATCCCATAAAATCAAAATTAGATGTTCCTGGTAACCCCTCTTACAGTTCCCTGTGTTTTCCTTGCAGCTGCAATCAGGCTGTAATGTGACTGGTCATTGCTGGACTCCCTCCACCAGAATGAATCATTCTGAAAACCAGAGCACAACATCTGTGCAATTATCTGTAGCGATTAATGAAGTATATGAGTGTGCTGAATAAATTAATAAACCAAGTGAAAAGCACAGAATTGTGAACAAAAGTTTACAATTCTCTGTAGCCAACAAAAACTTTTCGGATCCTGGAGGAACATATCTTTCAATCACTATCCATGTAAACTTACCCTCACAACCACAACACCGAGTTTCCACCCATGTTTCCTCACTTATCCCCCACACAAATAGTTGGGGGGGAGGTTTCAAAATAGGACAGACTTTATCACAAGCATCTTACAGATGTGCCCACTGCCTTCTCCTCTGACTCATCACTTCACAAACTATCTCCTCCACAAATTGTCAACCACCCACGGAAGGGATTGGGCCCGTCTTGTTCACCACCGCGTGCTCAGGGTGTTGAATAAAGAACGAGAGTATCTTCAAAGAGCAGTCTAAAGAAAGCTCATGAAAACAAACGACTGCAGAACACCCATTATGATCCAAGCCAAGCCAGCGAGGCAGGTGCTGTTCTGCAGGTAAATGCGCTTAAGTTCAGAGCGGTGAAGTAATCAGCCCAAGGCCCCCGCCCAATCAGCGCCAGAGTGCTGCTGGGACCCAACCTCACGCAGCTCTACTGCTCCCCCAAAGCCCCGCATCTGAGTCCCACCTGCTGTAGCAGAGCCTCCATCTCCTCCTGCACCGGGGTCAGCGGCTGTGAGACTCGCGGCGGCCGCTGCAGACACACCGCGCCCAGCAGGCGCCATGGAGACCCGCAGCTGGCGGGGGCGGCCGCCAGGGCCAGGCTGCGAGTCCTTAGGCTGCCGGCCCAGAGCCCCTCGCACCGCCCCCAGCCCCTCGCCACCTTGACCAGAGTGTGTCTCACGGGCGCCGCCATGTTGTTGCCTTCCCACAAAGCACCACGGCTCCCAGCGGTGCCCTGGGCCAATCCCGACCTCCCAGAAGATTGCGCGAGAGCGGCTTGACGGGAAAAACCCAGTCCGGGACCTGCCGGAACGAACCATTCCAAGGTGGGGGGGGCGGAGAAACAGCTGCTGGAACGGCAGGGCCAAGGGGGCGGGCTCCCTGGGGAGACTCGCGCCCAGGGCGGCTAGAGCGCTTTTGCACGCGCATAAAGCTCCCCAGAGGCCTTTCAGAGGCGGACTCTGACTCCCCCGCACCCCCCAGGCGCTCGTGGTACGGGCGGCGCCGACGGGGGCCGCCTGAGGCCAATTCAAGTCATGCAGGTTGTGCGGAGCGCGGGGTCGCGGCTCCTGCGGGCCTGGGCTGGGCCCCCGACGGCCAGGTAGGATCGGCTGACCCCTCCGAGCCCGCGGCCCCCGCCGGGCCTCCCCGGACGCCGGGCCTCCCCGGACGCCGGGCCTGGAGCTCGCCCATCTTTTCCCCCCGCAGGGTCTCAGCCGGGGCGCCGGCCCCCACCTTGCACACGGCGGCCGAGCGGCTGCGGGACGCGGCGGCCAAACCCGAAGGCGAGGAGAAGGCGGCGCCGAGCCGCGGCGGCTTCAGGTGAGCCCGGAGACCCGCGCCCGCCAGGTGAACCCGCGGCTTCCCGCCCCAGTGGGGCGCCCCGTGGGTGCGGGGAGGCCGAGGACGGACGCCGTCTCGGGGCCACACACCCTCCTTCCGCGCCAGCACTTGGGCCTCCGGGGAAGACACGCGTGCGGGCGCTTTCACCCCGACCTGAGCAGTCAGCGCACCCCAGAACTGGCTGCTCGGACGTGGGAAAGTGCTGCTTCTGGGGAACTCGGGCAGTGCTGCCGGGAGGGTGATGAGCGGAGGAAGGAATCGCCTGGGCGCCCAGCTGGGCACGATGAAGAGGGTGTCCCGGGGGAGGGGGGGGGGGCTGAGCGTCCGCGCGGAGGCCTGCAGTGTGCAAGTGTGCGTGCTCGTGTGTGTGTGTGTGTGCCGGCAGGTGAGGCCAGGGAGGACCCTGAATGCAGAGGAGAGACCCCTACCCCGCTGTAGGCTGTGGGGAGCGGCCGGAGAAATTAAAGCCAAGAACTTGTTGTCATTTGACAATGGCAGGTGCTTTTCAAGGTGTTGGACGTCCTCAGTACCCAGCACATAAATCCTCTGACCCGTTGTTTCTCAGTTCCATCTGATGGTGATAACGTGTAGAAAACAGTGTGAGCATCTAGTGTGAGGACTGGCAGGAAGGTCTGTGTGGAGGGGGGCAGTGAGAGCAGATGAGGGCCAGGGGCAGGGTTCCGTGGGCGTGCATGCCTGTATCTTGTGTGATCTTGCAGCCATCATGAGGACCTCACCTTCTACTCCAGGAAGGACTGGTGAGCCACTGGAGACTGGCTTGATGTGACTTGCTTACATTTTAAAGAGCCCTTTGGCTGCTGTGTGGCTGTTGAACCAGAGGGAAGCAAGGATGGCAGCTGGAAGACGTCTTCTAGGCAGTAGGAAGACCGGAAATAAACCAGGCAAGAAGTGATGGTGGCCTGGACCTGAGGACAGGCAGTTGAGCGCAGCGCTGTGAAGCCGTCCACAGCCTCTGCAGCACCAGTTCGCTCCCGGCCGGCCGGCGAGGGTCCCACATGGCGCGGCAGACCTCTCCTGTTGTGCCTGCTGCTCCCCTCAGCAGTGTATTTCGTCAGTCTGCCTGTTCTGTTCCCCGCTCTGTCTCTGGTGAATCCTCTCACCCTCCCGCACCTCTGGCCTGTACCCCGGTTCTTATATAAATTAATAAGTAAATATTTTTTTTAAAAAAAAGAAAGAAAATAGAACCAGCGGGAATTGTTCAAGTGAAAACAAGGGGGAAGGAGGAGGAACGCAGAAATGTTTGTGCTGAACGGCTGGAGAGGTGGGGTTCTTGGGAGACACTGGGCGCTTAGACCTGGGTGATTAAGTGAGATGCCTGATATCCAAGTGGAGCCACAGAGTGGGTGCTTAGAAATGGCGATCAGAGGACAGGTCTGGGCCCGAGATGGACGCTGATGATGTTTGAAACCGTGACATGAACAGGAGCATCAAGAGCACTGTTGCTAAAGAGGAAAAGAGCTCCAGGAGGCCTCTGACTTTTAGAGACGTGGGGGATGGGAAAGGAACCTGGAGGAGGGAGTGAAAAAACCTGGAGAGACTGTTTCATGTGGCCCAAGGGCAGGGACATCAGCTATGTGGGCAGTAGCTCAAGGAGGCCATGGGCTCAGGAGGGTTTTGTTTGTTCGGGAGCTGGGGAGATGGCAGCTGTTGTGCTGAGGGGGGCACAGCAGCAGAGGGGACGATGAGGACACCCCTGGAGCACTGACCTTGAGAAGCCAACACACAGCTGAGCCTCAGACTGGAGGGGCGGTGTCTGCGGGCCTGGATGTCTGGGAGTGAGCGCCAGGGGAAGTTCAGATTGCTTCTGCTTCTCTGGGAAGGCCATCAGCTGGCAGTGAGCACGAAGCAGGAAGAATTGGGGTTTTCAGGAAACAAATGTGCTCTTCACATCCCAGAAGCTTGCTCACCTCTTTTCTGGGGGACACTGGATTTTTTTTCTTAGAGTAATACAAATAGTACTTAAAAGTGGTAATGTTATTTTGTTTGTTTGTTTCTTTTCATTTAAAAAAAGCCAAGAGATTGTGGTGGATGAAATAAGTAGAGGTGTAACTATTTCAAAATGCAGAAAGAGAAGCCGTAAGAGGATTGGAAAGAGTGATAGGGTCAGACTAGAGGGACCAGGGGGAGTGGGGAGGCAGCAGTGTGCCCGGCAGTCTCGGCCGATCTGGAGTCAGAAGGGGGAGGCCCAGGGGTGCCCTGTGGGAGCCACGGCACCGCACAGCACCCAGGTGGCGGCAGCTCCCTTGAGAGCAGGGTGGGTAGGGGCTGCAGTTTTCCACTATGAATGTGTCTTGAGTTACTTCATTTTTTCTTAATCGTGTTTTTCTTTGATTTAAAAAATCAGGACAGTTTTACATAAAATGTTCCTTCTAATTGCAGCATTTACCCTCCAATTCCAGGGCAGGAGAGCCCTCTGAGGTGGGCGGGAAAGAAGTTTGAGGAGGTCCCCATCGCACACATCAAAGCCTCCTACAACAAGTAAGTGCAAGGGGAGCCCCTGCTGGGGGCGGGTGTCTGGGTGTGGTGCAGGTCCAGGTGCCCTCCTCCTGGTTTGGGGACGCCACCTCTGCGTGTTTAGAGGCCACTCCGATTTCACAGAGCATGGAAGGAGCCCAGCACGTTGGCATTTCTTTACCATCCCCGGGAGCTCCTGGGTGCGTCCATGGGTAGAGGTGCCTCGGGCTCAGGGTCCCGCTGTTGGGAAGGCCAGGGCATGGGAGAGATGAGACAAATCTGAAGTATTTCCATGTGAAACACTGGGTCTCGGGTTTGCTTCAAAGTAATCCTTGAGTGGGAAAGAGGCGGAGACGGGTTCACACTGGAGCTTGGCTGGATGGGAGTTGTGCTAAGTGGGGGGGTAGGGGGCGTGGCCCCAGCCCCTGTGCTGGTCTGTCCACATCCTGTTTATCTGAAACCGTCCCTGGTGAAGCCTTTGATGTGAGTCTCTTAGGGGAAAGTCTTTGATCGAATCTCTTAGGGGAAAGAAGCCCGAGGCGGACAGTGCGTTGACAGGCCACCAGGCAGACAGCGGGGTGCACTGCGCTCCTGGGTGACCCGTCCCGTTTACAGAGCGGGTCCATCTGGGGCAGTTCGGGCGCCCTTTTAAGCACCACGCCAGAGGCTCTCGCGGGACTTGGCTTCTCGCAGTTCTGGGGCTACGGTCAGGGAGCTGGCACAGTTGGGTTCTCATAAGGGCCGGCTTCACATGGTAGGGGCACTCGTCACCCCAGAGGACACCCCCTCGAGTCCTCAGCACCTGCTGCCGTCATGTTAGTGGGGAGGGCTCCCACGAGAATTCAGGGTCGGGACACAAGCCTTCGATCCCAGTAGAACTCTTTAGATTTTATGAGTTTTCTGTGGGGATTAAGGGGTGATTCTCCCCTTTCCTGGCCCTTCTGGGAGAATTCAAGAAACATTCGACTAATAAGCTGATGTCAAAGCAGCAGAGTCTGGCCCACGGCTCACTCCTGGCCAGTAGTTACATCCTCTGCCTCCTCTATCCCCAGCACCCAGATCCAGGTCGTTTCTGCCGAGAACCAGCCCCTTGCCCGCGCTTCCTGCGGCACAGAGGGCTTCCGGAATGCCAAGAAGGGCACGGGCATCGCAGCACAAACAGCCGGCATCGCCGCCGCCGCGGTAAGTGATTGCCTCCCACCTCCGGTGTGTCCTGCCTTCTGCATGGCCCCTCCGCAAGCAGAGCTGCCCTTGAACCAGCCATTCAAAAGCAGCAGGCCTGCCGACCCGCATTAGGTAGCCCGATGTCGGGGTGGCTGGGAGAAGTCAGAGCTCATTCCCAAGCAGGGGGAGTTGGGTTGGGAGGGCTCAGGCAGTCGGGTGAGGGGTGGGCTGAGTGAATGTGAGCTGTGGCAGACCCTCTTGGCAGCAAGGCCAGCGCCTGCGCTCAGCGCACACCGGCACACAGCATGCAGGGCCATGCGGGTCTTGCAGCCTCAGGAGACCTTCGTGTCACCCATGTGAGAGCCTGTTAGGTTCAGAGTGTGGGGCTTGCTTGGCACTTTGCAGCCAGCTCGGCTGAACCCAGGAGGCCTGGAAGCTATACCTGCACCCTGTGTGCACATCACAGCCCCCCTCTGCCACAGCTATCTCCAGGGGTAGCCTTGGCCTGCAGACACAGCCTCGTGCCCCAGAGTGTGGCAGCTGTGAATCCATGGCCTTCAAGGTGTGCCGAATGCCACCCTGAGCGGACAGGTGACAGCAGAGGAAATTCATGCGTGGTCCCGGGGCTGCTGCTCGGTGGCCGGGGTGACTTATGTGTGGCTTGTCCACTTTCAATAGGGAGCTCCCTTTATAATTAAGGAAATAAAAACGTAGCCG